TTGAGTCAACTTATTTAATACTGTTTCTTATTTGAAACATAGTCATAATATTCTTATAAATATTGCTTAAACTTTAAATCAAGACTTTTTTAAGAACACGAAAATTGATCTACAAAGAAAAAATGTTTTCAGTTAAATTCCAATTGTTTCTGCTGGTCCACTTACAATTTCTCCCCTTTTTTTGGTAACGGCATCCCAATTTTTCTGTGGGGAATTACCCCCGCTCTTTGGCCATCCGGTTAGGTGGGGGCTAATGATACTGATTGGCTCCAGTGGTAAGCACATGACCGCAGCCTGGCCAATGAGAACCCCACATTCTCCTGGCCCACTGACTGATTCAGAGATAGGAACACGACCCCAATGGGCCAGCAAAGCCCAGCCCTAGGACTTTTCATCAAACTACAAGGAAAAAGAAGTTGTTTTTTCCACAGGAATCACTAAGATGATAAGATATAAACTGGTCCTGTTTGTCACCACTTGAGGAAAGCTGCCTAAGAATGAAGACGAAAGCAGAGGAGAGAGATTCTTCCTGTTGTTTGATCACCTGGATCCAGCTGTGACTACAGCCAAGTCCCTGGAGCTTTTCCACACCACATGCCAATAAATTCCTTTGTGTTTGTTTGTTTAGGCCAGTTTAAACTGGGCTTCTGCCATTTCCTACCAAAAATATCCCAACACAGCCTATTGGTGCCAAATAGCTGAGAATCTGCCACACTAAAATAAGAACATGGTTGATGTTCGCAGGTTTGTGAAAGCAGCCGAATGTCATTACCTTGAATTCACTTCTTTTTTTGTTTTGTTCAGTGTGTTACTGCACTGTGATTTAATTTCAAAGAGACAGAAAGAGAGGAAAAGAAAGGCTTGTTTTCTGATACACATGTAGGCTTTTCTTATGATGATTAAGTTTCTAGACATTGTCAACCATGCTTTCAAGTTCTGAAGGTGAACCTAGCTAGGTTTTGAGTTCTCTAGCCTGTTGTAGGACCTATGTACATCGTTATTCTCTCCACCACCAGAGAAAAACCCACTCCCCAAACTACCATCAGTTTTTTCTTACTCTCCTGGTTCCTGCCTTTTAGCCTACAGCAATATCCATGCCTCCTCCATGCCAAAAAATAATTTTTAAAAAAAGACAAAAGGAAAAACAAACTTCAATACACAAAATCAACCACACTCACAATTGGGCAGAAACAAATAACCAAAAAACACTTGAAGAAAAGTGTAAAATGTTCATAATGATTGTCTCTGGTATTCTAACTGAATTTTTCTCTTAAAAAATACTTTCCTGTACTTTCCAAATTTCCTTGGTATTCTTTTTATAACACAGTATATTTTGAAAATTTGCCTCCTCTTAAAGCCACCAACATCCCTCCATTCCTTACTGTCAAGCAGCGTAAAACCAAAGACCCACATCACTCTCTCCACTTCCTCGCACCTGGTTCACTTCCACTTCGACTTGGTTATCATTCACACTGCTCAACTGAAACTACAGTCCCCAGGGTGACCAGTGTGGCCATCATGCCACACGCAATGACTTCCCTTCCTCCTTCAGCCCCCATGACCTCTTTGGACTATCAGCCATCTCTTCCCTTGGCTCAAGTTTGACTGCAGCATTATCCTCAGATATGGTAGTTTTTTTTTTCCTTTCCTTCCCCATTAAGTCATTAAACAAATCTTATCAATTGCATTTTCTAATGCACCTTGTTTGCATCATTTCTTCTTTCCCTCTGCCATCTGACCCTCTTGTAGCCTCACTTCCATTATTCCTCTGTGCCTGCACCCTCCCTCATCCTATGTGTCACACTGCTTTGGGTGTTACTGTCCTAAAACTCAAACATAATCATTTAATTCCTCCACCTTAAAATCTCTATCAGCTCTTGAATGCATAAAAAAAACCAAGCACAATTATTGGCCTTGCACCCAAGGCCCTTCACAAGCCAGGCCTGCCCATCAACCTCATCTTTCACTTCTGCCCAGACTGTACCACAGGCTCCAGGGGATACCACCTGGTTGGCTGTTCTCAGACCTACTGTCTTCTTGCACTCCCATGCCTTTTTTCATGCTTGTCCTCTGCCCTGGGTTGCCATTTTTCCCCTTTTCTGCATGAACTCTTGTTCATTCTTCAATTCCAAGACTAGCATTAAATTCTGAATATTGGAATAATTAGCACTTACCACACTGTATTTTGGTCCCTAGTAGACAGTGACCTACTTCAGGACAGATACATCATTTTATTTATTATTATATACTGACTTCTCACCTATGGAAAGCAGCAAATAAATAAGAAAAAGGAGTAGTAGTAAAAATTGCAGACCTTTCCTAGAGAATTGATTTTTTAAATATATAGTATTTCTGGCTTCCAAAAATAACTACCATTTTCCCACAAAGACTTTTCTGTGGTCTGCATAATATTGTGTTTCCCCTTTTCAAAGTTCTTTACTCTCAATACTTAGTCTATTACTTTGGCCAGTTCTTCTGGTTTGGGATCAGTCTGTTTAGATTTTTAAAAAATTTAATGTGCATAACAAAAAAATTAAGTCATCTTAATTTCTTAGCTTGTCATTCATTCATGGCATCACCTAATACTATAGTCAAGATTTATAAATCTATAGCTTCCAGTTAAAAAATTGAACATGTTTGAATATACCTTTTGTGTAAGGAAAAATAATATTATAATGTTCTTTAACTTTTTCCAGTTAAATTGACTGCATTTGTTTTTAAAAGGTCATTTATTTAATAAATTACTTTATTTTAAAGTTATAGGACATAGAATGAGGTACAGTCATAGAAAACCTAAATCTGAAGAATTCTGGATTTTAAATAGTGAAATAGTTAAGTAGTTACATGGCATCTCACATCCTGGAACAGTTAATTCTGTTGACAAAATCATCACTAAATTTTATTAGAAAAAGAAAGATGTCATGAAATCACTCCGTCCTTGAAGAGCAATGATGGAACTGATTCAACAACTATTTATTCAACACAAACTATGATCAAAGTATGATATGAATAACTCTAGAGCACAATAAAATGGGTAAAGCATTTCCCCACTCTCAATCCCCAAGGGAGAAAAGACAAGAATGTGAAGAACTACGATATAAACGCAACACAATGCCTCACAAGAAAGGTCCAAAATGCTGTGAAGGTTCTGAGGAGAAAGACATGCTATGCAGCTGAGAGAGCCAGGAAATACTTCTCACGAAGAATAACACACAAGCCCTGCAGAACAGATGGCATTTCTATAAACAGAAAGGGAAAGGGCCATTCCAAGCAGTGGGCACGGTAAAACAAAACACAATGACAGGAGCAAGAAGCATGAGGTCGCAGGAGCCCCTGAGAACAGTGGCCAAGAGCAGCTCTGCACAGCCCTCCCGGCCCTGGGCTCTGCTCGCTCCCCACTGCAGGATCTCCTCCCACACCATGCGAGCCAGTCAGTTTGAGGTTAAAACATAAATGCTCTTCCTACTCCTAATAAATCCTGGGTTCAGTCCAGAGGACGATGGGAATAATTGAAAGGTTTTGAGCAGAGGTCCTACACAAGTGCAGGGCAGTGCTTGAGGAAAATTAATGTGGCCACACATATAGAAACTAAAGGGAGAGACTGAAGGAGAGACCGAAATATTGCAATAATAGGAATACGGTCAGGGTGCAGAACTCGCTGTTGCTAAATGTTTGGGTAATAAACTCCAACACGGCAACCAGGAGCTAGAAGCCATCGACTACTGCTTCCTTTGTATCTAAAGTCCTAATTTTAAAAATGCATATTCAAATATTTAATTCCCAGAAAGCTTTACAATCCCATTCTCATCTTCTCTAAATTCTTTGTAGTAAGAAATAAAGTTTGACTCCTTTTTTTTCTTTTTTTTTTGGGACAGAGTCTGGCTCTGTCACCCAGGCTGGAGTACAGTGGTGTGATCTCGGCTGATTGCAACCTCCACCTTCCCAGTTCAAGCAATTCTCTTGCCTCAGCCTCCCAAGTAGCTGGGATTACAGGGGCCCGCCACCACGCCTGGCTAATTTTTTGTATTTTTAGTAGAGACAGGGTTTCACCATGTTGGCCAGGCTGGTCTTGAACTCCTG